TCCTGCCTCAGCTAGACAGTGCCCCCAGCCTCTAATCCTGCCCCGCTCCTTCCCTCATAGCTGCCTGAATCTGCACCCACTCCCCCCTACATTGCCTATGCTCCCTCCCATAGACTTATCTTTAGGCAGCTCTCCACCACTGCCTGGTTGTATTGCTGGCCACGTGCATGTGTCCAAACAGAAAACCCGGATCCCTGGTCATCAGTGGCCATGTCTACACAGGACATTTACTGTGTAGTAGACAAATTGTCTGCACTGTAAACACTGTGCATCTACACATGCACCCCTATTAGGCTGGAGTAAACTCTGCAGCAGGGTAGTACTTGTAGACGCTGCCCCATCTGGTTGGGGCTTGAGGGTGCTTCAATGTGGGGGCTGCCTGCCAGCTAGCCCTGCACTGAAGTAACTTTGTGCCCCAGCTAGCCTCTCTGCAGGACATTTGAGCTGTGGGGAGCAGCTCCAGGCTGGCAGACTGACCCCTGGAACCCCCTGCCAGCTGGGGCTTCTTTGAACTGGCTCAGTGTGGTCCTAGGCACACATGCAAACAGCGCTCCCAGGAGCAATACACTCTGGAGTAATAAGCCCTGGAGTTTGCTTCACATTAATAGCACGTGTTAGATGGGCCATGGATCCCAATTATCTTAGAAAAAACCATTATAATTAGAAAACAGGATGGGGCCATTATGAATCAAATATTAAGTTAATCAATTACTGAATAGATGGGAATAAAGTCTGAATATATCGTTTTTATGGGCACATCTACATGTGATTTATTGCGGAGCTGACTAATAAGCTCCTCGGGAAAACAGCACTGTCTACTCATGCTGTGCTTTTAGGCCAGAGTAAACTAATTAACTCTGCTGTAGGACAGTACTGCCAGACACAAATACTAAGTACTATTTTATGGCTGAATTATTTACTTCCCCGCATCACACGTATAGATGCTAAGGGGGGGCTGCCTGAGACATGAGGGTGCTTTAGTGCAGGGGCTGCTTGCCAGTTAGTTCTACGCTGTAGCACCCACATGCTGCATCCAGCCCTTTCACAGCATGTTGAACCCCCGGGCTGGTAGGCTGGCCCCTGGTTCCCTCGCCCAGCCGGGGCTGCCCTGCACTGGTTCAGCATGCTGCAGTCCCAGGCACACGTGCAAACGCAGTGCCCAGGAACAATAAGCTTTGGCATGAGCTGCACCAGAGTTTCTTCAGCTGTGCTAATAGTATGTGTAGTTTTTAAAGAAAGCATGTCACAGCATGAACTCTAGACTTTAGAAAACAGATTTGGAATCCATGATAAAATGTTAGGTTGGTGCATGTGTATGCCTGGCTCAAATGGAGCCAGTATTCTGGAGCTAAATCTGTCCTATTTGACACCAACACAATGTTAAGACGGGGAGATGGATTATATTTTGTCTCTTAATGTGGCTATGGAAAAAATGGTATGACTATTGAAAAATTCTTAGGATGACATGCAGCAGCTTGCTTATGCTGAGGATTTGGCTATTGTAAGTGAGGAGGTATGGTACAAAGAATGTGCGAGGGCTTGAAGAAAGCTGCAAGAAAAAGGGGATTGAAGATCAGTGAAGATGGTATTGAATATGTGATGGTAAACCCACAAGATAGATTTTAGAGCTACTTAGCTAGCAGCCATTCACATAAATCCCAACAAGGTAAGCAGTTTAAATACGTAGGAAGACTATAGCAGGAGAAATTTAAGGCACAGATACAAAGAGGAAATGCTTGTTTTGTCTCTGCTAAGAATTCTTGGCTTCAAAGAATTCTATAGAAAGATAAGTGTTTCAGATGGAGAAAATGTTATAAGATTTATTTTATATAGATGACAGACCTGGACACTTTTAATAATGTAGTAGAAAGTTAAATACCTTGGAAAAAAAAACTAAAATAGAAGCAATTTTGGAGGCCTGAAGGGTAGAAAGGCTAGGCAAAGATCATTTGATATGGAATTGCAAGAGGTCTATGAAGAATATAAATGGAGGGAAATCCTAGCAAAATGGTATGATGTATATTTGGCTTTATTAGGCCGCTGACGCATCTAATCCTTGATCCCAACAATTGTGCATCCTGCCATGCCGTACATGCATGGCCTGATGCATGATTTTGGGATTGGGGATTAGATTCTAATCATGTTGTATTTGCTGGTACAGGTGGAGCCAGGGTTCATGAGCCTGAACTTCCCTTGCACCAGCAAGATGAAACCAATCAGCTGATTGTCATTTGGGGCCAGGGACCAAATCGATCCATGGCCCATCTAACAATCTGCTTGGTGCACAGGGCGTCCAGCACTGGACTGCCGCAGCCTGGTTCTGGGAGCTGTATAAACCCTGCAGGCTGTCCAGCTGAGCAGGACACAGGGATTGATAGCACGCTACATGGGGGACCTGACATCAGATAGCAGCAGTCTTGTGCTGAGCTCCCCTTGTGCAGGGTGCTGTATAAGCCCCGTGTCCTACTCACCTGGAACATTTGTACAGCTGGGAAGTATACCGGGTTTATACAGCTCCCAATTCATGGAGAGCCTGGCACTTGTCAAAAATCCATGTGCTGCCCAAAAGGGTGGCACATGGGATTTTGAGAGGTCCTCGCCACATATTCAATTTAAGGTGTGATACAAAAGAGAGAGAAAAATATACATTATATATGGAATAACTCTGTGCTTCCTTTACTGTATTATCTTGCCTCATATTGACCTGCACATGTGGCTAGGTACTACTTAAGGCACAATTAACCTGTTAATCATGTCTTATAAAGGTAACATATGTCAGGGGCCTTAGACTCAAATGGAAAAGATGTGATGCAGTATACAGTTAACTTGGTTTAATATAATTTGCTGTTAATATAAATTGCTGAAATAAAAGAGTAAGTTGCATTGTATTCATCCCTAATTTTTGTGTTTAACAAAAATTATCTCTAGAGAATCTCATCCTCACATTGATTCTTAATTTAATATCTGGCCTTGGCTCCTTCATCATATTGAACCCCTCTCTTGTGCATATACTTTGTGCGTGCTCTCATAAAAATTGTTCTACAATAATTGTATATAGTAAACATCTTTTTACATTCTAAATTAACACACAGTGATTTATTTCTATTAATTTTTTTTCTAAAGATCAGTACTTCAGAAAGAATTTTAAACTCCTGCCGTTCTAACCTAACTTCAGTATTGAAATATTTTGTATGTCTCAACTGTTTTTGATGTGCTCCTTTTGTGTCTTTATACTTTACCTCGAGTTCTGCCTCTATTTAAAAAAAGACTTTCTTCCTTTTACCCAGCCCTTTCTTCTGTCCACTAGGATTGTAAGTTTTTTTTGGTGGGGACTAATTTTTGCTCTGAGTATATGTTAGTAGATCTAATCTAGATCAGTTTCTAAATGGTACAGTTCTACAAAAAAACGGTTGAACTGGCTGAATATTTTGAATTGAGAGATTTAAAGTATAGCTCATATAGTCCACTGTTGCTCATGGAACATGTATGTGCCTCTGAAATAACTTCATGGCATTAATTTTAAAAATTTAAATATAATTTGATTGAATAACATTGTTGAGGAGAATTTGTGTTAATATGCGATTTATTGTATTTTCTTTTTTTAGGTTAGAACAGGCAAAAGAAGCTGAGTCCAAGGATGCTTTAAAGGACTTAGTTAATCTGATAACTTCCCTGACAACATATGGTGTTAATGAATTAAAACCAGCAGGTGTTACCACAGGAGCACCTTTTTTGTTGCCTGGATTTGCAGTCCCACAGCCTGCAGGCAAAGGTATGTAAACTTCTTGCATCATGAAGAACACACTATGGATTTTGAGGAGACATTACCAATATATGGAAAAGGCTATTTATAGGTGCTGCTCCTAAAATTGTCAAATAGGTAATATTAATATTAAAGGTAATTTTGCTCTATAGTTAGTACTTGAATGAGAATAGTAAAGGCACTTCATCTCTTTTCCAAAATCAAATGCTGAGTTGCACCAGTTGATTTATGTGATTTTAATCTGAAACAGTGCACACGCAGCTCTTTGGATTCTCTTGTTTTAACTCCCTCCTTTTTTTCCAACTCAAATCAATTGTTTAAGCATCTCAACCAAACTGAAATCTACTCTTAAACTATAATAAATGCCTCCAGAGAAAATAACACAGGTTTAGGTCAGCGCGGTGAAGCTTTGGATGTATACACAAGTCTTAAGATAGTTTCAACAAGAAACAGAAAAGAACACATACAGATTGTTAACAACAAAGGGAATCTATTGTTTTCACTCCAAACTCATGCCTTGTCTATACTAGAAATGGCACTGATTCATCTAAAATTGGTTCTACAATAACATTTTGCAATTAGATAAAACAACGTGAATTTCCTATGTGAATGCCCTTGAATTTCACTTTTTCTGCTGTGATAGAAGTTATAGTGGTTACTCTTGCTGTTTCCTGTTATGTCACCCACTATCCTTCTCGGGAGTTTCCATGTGAACAGAGCATTTCTTGGCACCATGTATAGTGCCTTCCATTATAGAGTAGTGATTCAACCAGGGTGCGGGGGCATGCTGGAGTATCATCAGGTCCTTTGAAGGGTGCTGCAGGAAGTGCAAGAAGAGAAGCTGATAGAAGAAGGGTAAGGATTCAGGTGTGAGGAGATAAGTAGGTAAAGACAGGCTTAGGCTCTTCCTGCCTGGCCTTCTCCCATCCCCCATACCTGGCCTCTCTGCAAGGAGGTAAGCGCATTTCCCAGGTGGGGAAATTCCTTGCTGGACTTGGACCTTGCCACAGGCGACCCTGGGGAAATGCCTTGCTGGACTTGGACCTTGCCACAGGCGATGACCTGATGTGGGGTCTGTGGGTACTTGACCACCTGGCTGAGAGTGATCATCACCTGCTGGAATTTACTATCCAGCGCAGGGTGATGAAAGCAAGCGGTAAGGCAAAAGTCCTCGACTTCAGGAGGGCCGACTTCAATGAGCTAAGAAGATTAGTAGGACAGGCATTGGGGTCTCGGAGCTTCAATGAGACGGGAGTCCAAGATGGGTGGTTGTTCCTCAAGGAGATGATCCTCCAAGCTCAAAGGGAGTCAGTCCCAATGCTCACTAAGGCGGGCAGGAGTGCTAAAAAGCCCCCATGGCTCAGCAAAAGCATCCAGGAATGCTTGAGGGCAAAAAAGGAGGCATACACACAGTGGAAGCAAGGGGCTATCACCAAGGAGAGTTACACCTCTTGCTTGTGACTGCAGGGAGACTGTTAGAAAGGCCAAGGCAGAGATGGAGCTAGGGCTAGCGACCAGAATTAGCAATAACAAAAAGTCCTTTTTCAAATACAAAGGGAGTAAGAAGAAGGTACCAGGCAATGTGGGGCCCCTACAGGACAGGCTTGGCAATCTGGTGATTGCAGCTAACGAAAAAGCTGACCTCTTTAACGAATTCTTTGCCTCCATATTCCTGAACAGGGACCGGGATAGTTCCCCCACTAGGATTACAGACGGACCCATGCCTAGGGTCAGGGATGACCTAGTTAGGGAATTGTTGGAGGGGTGGATGTGTTTTAAATCAGTAGGTCCAGGTACTCTTCACCCAAGGGTGCTGAGAGAATTGGCGGGGTCATAGCGGGACCCCTGCCATGGCTTTATGAGTGGTCATGGGGCTCTGGCAAGGTACCAGGGGATTGGAAAAGGGCCAATGTGGTCCCCATTTACAAGGAAGGGAGGAAGGAGGACCCGGGTAACTATAGGCCAGTTAGTCTCACCTCGGTCCTCGGGAAGACCTTTGAGAAAATTATCAAGGAGCACGTCTGCAAGAGCCCAGCAGGGGAGGTAATGCCCAGGGGCAACCGACATGGATTCATTGAGGGCAGATCCTGCCTGACTAACCTGGTTTCCTTTTATGATCAGGTCACAAAGTCCCTGGACGAGGGCGTCAAGGTGGATGTAGTCTTCCTGGACTTCAAGAAGGCCTTTGACACTGTTTTCCATCACATTCTCTCAAAAAAACTAGGTGACTGTGGCATTGATGCCTACACAGTCAGATGGGTGGCAAATTGGCTAGATGGTCGCACCCAGAGAGTGGTGGTGGACGGGTTGTTTTTGACCTGGAGGGATGTGGGCAGTGGAGTCCCCCAGGGGTGTCCTGGGTCCCCCACTGTTCAACATCTTTATCAGCGATCTGGATTAGGGTGTGGAAAGCATGCTGTCCAAATTCGTTGACAGCACCAAGATGTGAAGCAAGGTGGGCACACTGGAGGGGAGGGAGAGAATCCAGCTAGATCTAGACAAATTACAGAGGTGGGCGGATGAGAATAGGATGGAATTCAACAGAGACAAGTGCAGGGTACTACGTTTAGGGAGAAGGAACCACAAACATACCTATAGGCTGGGGAACACTCCTCTTGTCAAAACAGTGGCAGAAAGGGTTCTTGGAGTCATTGTTGACTCCAGGATGAACATGAGCCGCCAATGTGAGGAAGTGGTCAGTAAGGCTACCCGTACCTTGTCGTGCATCTACAGATGTATCACAAGCAGGTCCAGGGAGGTGATCCTTCCCCTCTGTGCGGCGTTGGTCAGGCCGCAGTTAAGAGTATCACATCCAGTTCCGGGCACCGCACTTCAAGAGGTACGTGGCTAGTATTGAGAGGGTCCAGAGCAGGGTCACTTGCATAGTCAAGGGGCAGCAAGTCAGGCCCTACAAAGAGAGGCTGAAGGGCCTGAATCTATTTAGCCTTCACAAAAGGCTGAGTGGGGATCTGGTGGCTGTTTACAAACTCACCGGGGGGACCAGCGGGAATTGGGTGACGCTCTGTTCCCCCTGGCAGCACTGGGGGTTACTAGGCATAATGGCCACAAATTGTTAGAGAGAAGGTTCAGGCTGGACATCAGGAGACATTACTTTACAGTTAGGGCTGCCAGGCTCTGGAATGGGCTCCCAGGTGAGGTGGTGCTCTCTCCTATGTTGGGGGTCTTCCCATTCGTAGATTCCTAGATTCATAAATGCTAGGGTCTCAAGGGACCTCAATAGATCATCGAGTCCAACCCCCTGCATAGGCAGGAAAGGGTGCTGGGTTCGGAT